ATACTATTTGTCAACACTGCAGATATGTTTTATGTAATAAATAGAATAATTAATTTTATTAAATTAAAAATCAATTAATAAACAAGTTAACCTTTCAGTTAATTTTGTTTGACATGGCCTTTTAAGCACGTAATTGGCAGAATATGATCTTTCATTTCTTCATTTTTCTAGGTGCTGTGTGCCGTGAGTATAATTTCACTCAGATCCAGTAACTGCTTAAAAGTGAAGCTCACAGTTTTATTTTTTGGCAAAGTGGACTAAACCTTTTATACACAAATAAACACAAACGTTTAACAACTCTAGCTTAATTACTGCTTTATTGAGTATTTCTAAACTCAGGTTAAGAAAATTTATGGATTACATCATAAAATAATCCATTATAATATTATGATCACTTATGGTGATCACAAAAATAGCTAAATGCTTTTTCATTCATTCATTTACAACAGATATAACAGAAGTTCCCTGTGACGGCACCAACTATGAATTTATCCACAAATATCTTGCATTTGAAGGCAGTGATATTGCATATACTATTTATTATTACTTCCACTACCACGGGATAAATCCAATTACAGTTTCCACATGTGATTCTACTCTGACCAATTTTAACACACAACTAGCCATATTTGGTTGTGAAGCTCTATCACATGTGCAATTGTCAAGTAACAGGGGCCCGAGGTGTACTATTGATTATCAGTATGCTACTGTGGAAAATGATGACAACTGTGAATCACAATACTCCAAAATTGAATTGGGCCGAGGACGTTTAGACGATGGAACTTATTTGATTGGGGTCTCTGATTGGTTACCTGTTGAAGAGGGAATCTTTGCACTTAATGTCACTTGCTAGGGCTCTCATTGTCCTTGAACAGCTATTAACCAGACTTTTATATTTCAATGTGGTATTTAATTGACACTCAGACTAAGATTTTACATAACGCTTCGTAACAGCACTTGAAAGAAAAATTCTAATGGCATATCGATATTTGTTATGTTAAAATGAAGCACTGATTTGTTTTTCTCTCAGATTTTACATAACACTTGAAAGAAAATATCATTGGAATACCTTCTAGTCCTAATGAACCATATATTCTCTGTAACTGCATGGGTTGAGTTACACAACTATTATAAATCTCCTCTTTCCTTACATATGGACAATGCAACAGGTCAGCTTGTCTTTTTGCAACCCCTCAAAACCGAGCTCAATGCAGAATGTTTTACCATAAAATCTTGGGTCATAGGCCATGACTCAGCACTTTTATTAATCACTTTAATAATGATATTTATGACCTGTTTAATAAGTGAAAGTAACATTGTTTGACATTGTTTGAGTTTGACAATAAAAAAAGGCCTCCTTAACCCATAGGCCAAATGTCAACTTCTTTTGTTTGCCATTTGTCTTTTATAAACTCCATTCTTCTCAACTAAGATGAAGGAGATATTAAAATTATATCAGTTTTCAGTTCTGTCTTCACCTAAGTCTCACAAAGAAAGAATCCTTAATACATAACCATTCCAGACTTTAATACATGTAGGAGAGGGGGGATGGAGAGAGAGAGAGGGCACAAAGTTTAGTCAAACAAAGACTTACCTATTACCTTTAATAGTTTAAACTTTAATAATGCAATCTTTTATTGTGAAAGGCACATAAGAAATATCCACCTACTATGGTAGAAATTTACATTTTAAATAGGCTTATGCAGATTGGCCCTTGGAGACTTAAAATATCCCAAAATGTTGTTCACCATGACACTCAGAGGCCAATGGAGGCATACATTAACAGACATCTAATTTTATCTGGCAGAAGACCTTCATAAATAGAGGATTGATCAACAAACTTGCCACTGGTCAGTTTCCTGAATCGTGGTCGGTTGCCATCATTTTTCCTTTGCATAAAAAAGGTAACACGAATGATCCAAACAACTTCAGAGGCATATCATTACTAAGTGTTGTTGGCAAGGTGTTTACTAAATTACTGATACTAAGTAATAGATTAAATACCTGGGCAACTCGGGAGGATATTATCAGTGAATGCCAGGCTGATTTTAGGAAAGGGTATTGCACTCAGGACCAAATATTTTCATTACAAGCAATGATACAAAAATACTTGTCGAAAAAGGGATGTAATTTTAGTGTATGTTTGTTGACTTTCAAAAGGCTTTTGATTGCGTGGATCACCAGTACCTCTGGTTTAAAATATGTGCAAACGGTGTCCATGGCAATATGCTCAGTGTTCTCAAGTCTATGTATGCACAATTGCAAGCTTGTATAAGGCTACCAAACACATCAAGCTACACGTCAACGTTCTCATGTAGTGTTGGTACCAGGCAAGGATGCATGGTCAGCCCGTTTTTGTTTTGCTTATTCATAACTGATCTCATTTATCTTTATGAAGAATTCTCCTGCAAAGGTATTTATATAAATCAGGAGTTTATGAACATTACCTTGCTATTATATGCAGATGACTTAGCAAACTGTGCTGATACTGTGCGAAATCTGCAAAGACTCTCAGATTACTTAGCGTTGTTCTGTAAACGCTGGAAAATGAATGTGAATCTTGATAAAACCAAAGAAATACTTTTCAGAAATGGTGGTTACCTTAGACATTACGAGAAGTGGTATTTTGACAGCATGGAGTAAGAGACTGTATCGCATTATAAGTACTTGGGTATTATGTTTACTCCAAAGCTGTCTTGGTCCAAAGCAAAACAAACTTTAGCAACTCAAGCAAAGAAATCTATGGCAAGATGTTTCAGATTATTTAAAAATGTGGGATCTTTGCCCCACGTCTTATGTTTTAAGATATTTGATTCAATGATAAAACCTGTACTTAAATATGGAGCAGAAATATGGGGTTATGAAATATCCGAATCAATAGATAATGTTCAAGTTAAGTTTTGTAAAAGATTATTGATGGTATCGGATAATGCAAGCACACAAGCACTTCTTGGGGAATGTGGTCGTTACCCTCTATACATAGATTATCATGTCAAATGTATTAAGTATTGGTTCAAGCTTTTGTGTATTGACGAAGGTAGGCTACTGAAATCATGCTACAAGTTACTGTTTGACTTAGATAGTGGTGGGAGGCAAACATGGGCGAGTGACATCAAACATCTTTTATATTCATATGGATTTGGAGTAGTATGGGCAAACCAAGGATGTGGAAATTTGGAATTTTTACAGAACAGTTTAGACAACGATAAATGGATATAAGCAGGCAGAATTGATATTCCTCAGTACGCGAATCAGGCAAGCTAAAGACCTACAGCTCATTTAAACTAGATTTGGTATTTGAGGAATACTTATCTTTTGTGTCCATAGCAGAGCATGGAAGGGCCTACTGCAGGTTCAGAATATCAAACCACAATTTACAGGTTGAGAAGGGTCGGTATGCCACTGTAGATGGGGAAAATAGAGTATGTGCTGCATGCCTTTCTGATGGCATAACAATTATTGAGAATGAGGAACACGTGTTAATGTCATGTAGTTTATAAAACGGTCTGAGGGAACACTAGATTACAACACTGTCACTAGCGACTGCTCTGTCATCACATAATGATGACTTTATAAAAAGACTTGCGGCCTTCATATATCATGCTGAGAAATTAAGAGATGTTTTTTTAGATAAGTGATTTGTGTCGTTTATGATATATATTCCTGTGTAGTCAGCTCAGTATTATTATAAATAGAACTCAATTGATGTACTCTTGGCCTGTAGGCCTGAAATACAGTGAAATAAACAACAATATATGTTATGTAAATTACTTATTCAGATTCAGATATTCAGATTAGGATTGATCAATAAAGATAATTTGGAAGACTGTTAAAAAATAGCCCCTGCATTCAGTCATGAGCCTAGGTTAAAAAAAAAAACTTGGAACATTTATCATGGGACCCAACACCTAACCTTGACGAGTCCCAGGAACCATCAGAATTGAATTAAAACGCAAAATTCCGCTTTTCCACTGAAAAAGCTCATGTTTGTGCATTACATGAGCAAATGTGTCCCATACAGTGGTTTCTATACAAGGCATATGACATCTTTAAACACTAAGCAACCCTCATTTATCTTTTTCATTCAAATTTTTTATGTTACTGATTATAAATAAATCTATTACTCAGCTCTCGGAAATATGTTTAGACCATTCACACTGCTACGTTGGTTTACGTTGGCTCACCTGGTGGTTTTGGAGACAAGGCTGCGCTTCTTCTTCGTTAAGCAGGGTGGCACTATGTTGGGGGTGTTGTCATAAAACTTGGTGTTATAATTTAGTGAGAACAGGGTAACAAACAAATGCTTGGGGGGGGGGGGGGAGATTGAGGTAGTGTCTGCCCTTATTGTCACAGTCATTAGGTGCTGACATTCCATCTTAGTTTAATTACCTATAACCTTTAATAGGTCTAACCTTTTTTTTCATGACACCCCCTTGGGTACCAGTTCATCTTTCTGATCAAAAATCTTAAAAGGAACTCTCCACGGGATTTTCCTGTCAAAATTTTCTCCTACTCAAGAATCATCGCTTGACCCATTCCTGCATTTGGATTCCATGTCCTATTTCATTTTTAATATGAAAATTTACTCTTAAAATATATGACTTTCAGTCAAACTTCTATACTAATTTTTCCCATAATTCCTTCCGTTTAGGAGATATATAGCATTGAATTTTCAATTAGAGATGGGGACACAGGTCCGTGCGGTCTAGGAGGAGAAGCGGTAACAGTGACTTGTATCCCACGCCATCCTGCGGAGCCGGTGGAGCCGGACGATACGGGTCAGGACTAAAACCATGAGTACGGCCAGCGTACAGGCTGGTGGTACTAATAACTGTCCAGTCAAGTAGAATGACATAGCCTTCCTAACCTTCACCTTCATGGACTCCTATTTACACAAGCTTTGGAGAATATAGATTTGAATCTGAGGGAATTTCAAAGGCTTGGAGAGTTCCCTTAACTGAGTCCTGGATGTTGTGACCAGTGACTGTGACATAACTGACCTGCTTACAGCTGGTCATTCCGGTGTCATTCTGGTACTGTCCAGGGTGGCAGGGCACTGGGTGACCCTCGGGGTTACCACAGCTGTGGCCTGTCAAGGAAGAAAAAACGATATTAATGTATTAATTTAAAGTCTATAATTCATTACAAAATCATCAGTAGATTTGATATAGACAATTAAAAAAAACAATTTATTAAGATATAAAAAATCTAAGGGCGCATTCCCAGGGATTTGGATCGAACCAGAGATTTATATTTAGATCGACCTAACTCCCTGGGGGTTCACGCTAAATTGCAGGCAGCCGAGCGTGCACCATAGTTATTAATGTATTAATTTAAAGTCTATAATTCATTACAAAATCATCAGTAGATTTGATATAGACAATTAAAAAAAAAACAATTTATTAAGATATAAAAAATCTAAGGGCGCATTCCCAGAGATTTGGATCGAACCAGAGATTTATATTTAGATCGACTTAACTCCCTGGGGGTTCACGCTAAATTGCAGGCAGCTGAGCGTGCACCATAGTTAATTACCCCCTAACAGCTTTTAGTAGGCAGTACAGACACTTAAAGATGCATACAAAGTCTATTTTTTGTCACAAAAACCAACCAAATGCCAGCATATAGTTTCAAGTAGTATAACTAAGTGAATTACCAAAAGGCATTGTTTAATTTTACCCGAAAATGATGTTTGAACAGATTTTTCTGCTGGCATTCTAAGCTGTATGTCAATGGGGCAGGAAAGTAGGTCACGGAAGTAGGTTAAATTTACAACCAAAAATTTTAAGAAAAGAGCAGTCTAAAGGTCTTTTATGGCTGATCAAGTGATCTATTCAGTTTATCCCTTGGCATGTCGAATTTATTTGTGTCATATAAGAATCTAGTAGAAGTGGTTTACACGTGTTACTGGGAATCCACGCTCCATCGATGCTCGGTTCATATGTACGTTTAAGCTGGCTAAGCTGACAGTAATCTAGTGAGACTCCCCACAGGGATAGATCGATCTAAAATCTATGGGAATGGGGTCTAAAACAGTAAACACATTGTAACAATCTGGATGTTCTATTTTTTTTTCATACAGAAACAATTGCAGGTTAAATCATCTTTCAGAAATATCAGCAACCAGTGTAAGCTGATATGGGCACTATAGCAAAAGTCATTATGAGCTCCTTATGAAGATTATATATGCATTTTTATTAGGAGTAAATTATGTATATCAAAAAGAAAAACTTTTTTCATCAAATATAGTAACCAATTGAAGAGTACTTGTTGTGGGATATTAACTAGAATCTATGACCAGTAATCACCCAACTGGAATCTTCATCCTCCTCAAACAAATCTTATGCTTGAAAAAGCCTAAAA